TTATCAGTCTTGGAAATTAGTCTGCAAATCTTGATTTCTACTATATTACCTAGCAAAATCGATATATATTACTATTAGCTATTAAATTCTTGCTCAAAAGTGAATTACAAATACAAGTCTATGGTTGGATGATGGGCTGCAGTGCTATTTCCAGTAGTGGTGTAATGTGATAGTGCTGCATTGCCCGACCTGTTGGCCGCTGGCTATATGTTTAGGCAGTGGATATTTGACCGTATACGGCAGGGTATCCACTTCCGCTATTTAATCATACACCACATTTGATTGGCTAGTATATTTGTGACGTCATAAACATTACGTTCGAATCCCATACGGTTTAGCTATCTAGAAAACTTAGGTTCAAATCCCATTTATTTCTACACATTTGTAGCCTCGTTTGATCATAGAAGCTATTTTCCGTGAATCACGTTTCCAATACGAAACCTTTTGAACACATTCATAAATTAATAACATACATATATATACACATACATAAATATACTAGCCGATCAGAAGTACTGTACGGTAAAATAGCAGAAGTGGATACTCTGCCGTATACGGTTAAATAGCCACTGCGATATATTTATTACATAAATTTTGTTTAGGGCATCTCAGTTTAATCAATGTTGGCTACTTGCAATGCTATATAGTTGTACTATACTCTTATTAATGTTAGAATACAATTTGTGTCAGTAGACATTCCATCTAGCCATATTTGCTCCATTTGGGGGGGGGGAGGGAGTTTATAAATGAATAATTTGAACACAATGAAAATAATTTAAATTATATAACAAATTTACAGCCACCAAAAAAGAAGAAGAGTGGGAAAAAGAAGAAATCTGCCAAAGCATCTGGTGCAATATCTATTATCGATGGCGTCATTACTTCAGAGATGTCAAAGGCCGAGGTAATTTAATATTTGTAAATATGGATTACAATATAAACTTAGTTTATTATGCAGGTGATTAATAGCACTGTATAATAATATGGTATATTTCATAGTAATGTACAATAATGATGTAAAACAATGCAGACGCTTGGCCTACCCTTTTCCCAGCTGTGACCCCACTGGAGAAATAAGTTTGTATACTTGTATTTGTAGATATACTAGAGCATCGTCATTAACGATGGGCAATACAATCTTGACGGCAATGCAAGTTATAAATGTTGACACATACTAAATCTTTACCCTAATAGTAATACTAATAGTGATTATGGGGTTCTAATCTATTAACGTGGCATAAATTAAGTTGAAATTATGACATTATATAGTTAGAGGACCATGTCGTACGACTCAAAGAAGAGTTGGACCGGGAGAGAGAGGAAAGGAATTTTTTTCAACTGGAACGAGACAAGATCAACACATTTTGGGAGATTACTAAGAGACAGTGTGATGAAAAAAAAGCCGAGCTGCGCAACAAAGACCGTGAAATGGAGGATGCAGAGGAACGCCACCAGGTGGAAATTAAAGTAAGTTATTAAGTAGTAATTGGAGGAACAAGAAGCTAAAGAAGTATGATACAGTAAGTTGACCATGATGGAAGATAATCAGGAACAATATAGCGATACTTGAATATTAAACTGATTATATTTGTTTTTATGCAAAATACATTTTTCCTGCAGGAGAATATCGTTTAGTGTGGAACATACACATTATCACTCAAGTGTGTGGGTGTGTGCCCTCAATGTGCATGTCTGTGAATCAGTATCACAGAATAATGTGAGTGTGTGCGTGTGCTATGGTAGGTATGCACCTATATGTGATGTTGTATCTAGCTTGGCTTTTGTTTTTGTGCAGGTGTACAAGCAGAAGATTAAGCATCTTCTGTACGAGCATCAGAACAGCATCAGTGAGTTGCGAGCGGAGGAAGCCATCAAGATGAAGCTGGCACACAACGAGTTCCAGACGAGTGAGACTGAATTAGTGGGGGAGAAGCAGAAGTTGAAGACAGACATCAAAGAGCAAGAGCTGAGCCATGAGGACATCATTAAGAACCAAAAACTTGTACGTTCCTTAGTACAATTTTCTGTCATGTGATATACAATTCTTCATGAACACTTTTACTTTCTTCTTTACTTGCGTTGATCTGGCTTGGCTCTTCAATTTATTGACACTGTGTTATAGAGGTTGTCTTTCCTGATGCCATTGGAGAAGGAATAGTAACATTTTATAGTGTCTCTATGATCTGTGTTCTATATATTCAGTGTCTCATTGAACTAAATCTTTCCCTATTGCACTATTAATCCTCAATATTATGTCTAACATTTCCCTTCACTAGCAGTGCTGCACATTTCTGTGCTCGTTCATTGCTGACCCTCTTATGGCTCTGTCATGACTACCTCTCTTCCTGCTTCCTTACCTGCACCAATAACCCTTCCCCTGCACTTACTGTGCTGGTTCTCCCCACGGTCATACACCAGTAACTTGGTCTTCCCCTGCCCTAGCGCCACTAAACCCTCCCCTCTCACAACCTCACTACTCCTTCCATATCCTAGCCTCACTAATTCCCTCCTTTTTCTAACTTGATTAATTTTCTCCTTTCCCTAGCCCTATACCCCTACCATGCCCTTGCCTCACTAACCCCCTCCCAAGCCCTTCACCATTCCCTCCCATGCCCTTGCCTCACTAACCCCCTTCTAAGCCCTTCACCATTTCCTCCCATGCCCTTGCCTCACTAACCCCCCCCCCTCAGCCCTTGCTTCACTAACCCCCTCCCAAGCCCTTGCCTCACCAACCCCTTCCCCTTTCATAACTTCACTAATCCCGCTACCATCACATTTTGCTCACTAATCCCTCCCCCCCCCCCAGCCAGCCCTTGGCCTCCCCGAACGGCCCTTCCCTTTAATAACTCACTAATGCCTTCCGACACAGTTAAGCCCTCACTAATTCCGCTCCGTTTCCTAACTCATTAATTCCTCGTCTTTCCCTAGCCTCAAACCCGAATCTCTCGGCCATCCGGTACGGTCACCTGAACCCCTCCCCCTCGGCCAGCCCTTGCCTCATACACGCTCCGTTCGAACCCTTGCCTTCACTAACCCTGTCTTCCAAGCCCTTTCCTCACAACCTCCCTCCCAACCCCTTACGTCACCACGCCTCCTCCCTCGCCAAGCCGCTTGCCTACTAACCTGGTCCGCGTCCGAATCGCCTCACCTCACGTAACTCCCTCCCTGAAGCCCTCCGCTCACAACCCCGCTCCCAAAGCCGATTAGCCGCTCACTTAACCTCGGGCTCCCAAGCCCTTTACGTGTCAGCCAACCCCGGTCGCCGTCCTCGCCAACCCACATCCGTCAAGCTAACCCCCAAAAGCGCCCTGCGTCGAACTAACGCCCGCGCGCCAAGCCCCTGCCTCAGCTAACCGCCCTCCCAAGCCCTCCTCAAATAACCCCCCGCGAGAGCGCGCGCGTCACTAAACTCTGTCTTTCCAACGCCCTCATCCTCACTACCCCCTCCAAAGTCCCTGCCGTTCTGACTAACTAGGCGGCCTCTTCCGGAAGCCGCTCAGTCCTCAACTAACTCCCCTCTCCAGAAGCCCTTGTGCTCACTCGGACTGCTTCTCTGTCTCAAGATCCTTCACCGTCACTAAAGCTCCCTCTTCCGAAGCCCTTGCCTTCACCCGATTAACCCCTGTTCTCATTTAATTCCCACATCTGCCTCACTAAACCCCGCCAAAGTCCCTGTCTGCCTGTAAATGTCTCCTAAACCCCCGCCTCCCAAGCCCTGCCCCACTAACGCCCATACTCCCACGAAGCCGGCGCGCCAGCGCCCCCTCACTAACTTCCGCCCTCGATTCATGAAGCCCTCTGCCACTCAACAACTTGCCCTTCTCCAAGTCCTCTTGCCTCATATAGACGCTCGTCCTCAAAGCTCCTGCCCTCACTAAGCTCCCTCCTCCAAATGCCGCTGTTTGCGCTCACTAACTCCCCCTCCCAAATGCCGCTTTGCGCTATCACTAATCGCCCCTCTCAAGTCCCTCACCTCGCTTCACTAACTCGCCCCTTCCATAACTCTGCCTCACTATACGTCCTTCCCAGCCTCACCTGCCTCACCTAACCCCAACACCACACAAAGTCCACCCACAGCTCTTGCAACCCCCCAAATCTCACTCACACCACAGCTCCACAGCAACCAACCCCAAAGAGCGCACACCCGGGCGCACACAGCCCCCACCTAAACCCCCCCGATCCAAAGCACTCTGCCCTCGCTTCGCACTAACGCCGCCCCCGTCGCCTGCAGAGCCCTCTGCCTCACTAACGCGGCCGCCCGGGCCCCTCCCAAGGTCCCCTGCTCGTCACTTTAATCTCTCTCCGCTCCCCAAGCTCTCAGCTCCGTCATCCTAACTCCTCACTCTCCACCATCCTCCCCGCCACCTCCAACCTTATACTCCCCCTGCCGCCCCTCCCAAGCCCTTGCCTCACTAACCCCCTCCCCTCAGCCCTTGCCTCACTAACCCCCTCCAAAGCCCTTGCCTCACTAACCCCCCTCCCCCTTCCTCCTCCTCCTGCAGAAGCAGCACTCGGAGATGACGGTCATGCGGCGCGACTTTGAGAACCAGATGCGTGACGTCGAGACGAAGTATGAGCGGCGTACGCGGGCGCTGCGCGACGAGCTCGACCTGCGGCGGCGCACCGAGATGCACGAGGTCGAGGAGCGCAAGAACTGCCAGATCAACACGCTCATGAAGAACCACGAGAAGGCGTTCAGCGACATCAAGAACTACTACAACGACATCACGCTCAACAACCTGGCGCTCATCAACACGCTGAAGGTGCGAATCGAATGCAGTCGTGGATTGCTGTGCATACTGGCCTGTCTGCCGAGCGCGGTTAAAGGGCAGCTCTGGCCAATAACACGCTGAAGGTGCGAATTGAATGCAGTCGCAGCCACTGTGCGTACTGGTTTGCTACCCGGGCGCGGTTAAAGGGCAGCTCTGGTCAATAACACGTTGAAGGTGCGTATCGAATGAAATCATGGCTGCGGTGCATACTGGCCTGCCTGCCAGGCATGGTTGTCGGGCAACTCTGGCCAATAACACGCTGAAGGTGCGTATTGAATTCAGTCGTGTGAAGGTGCGAATTAAATGCAGTCGCAGCTGCTGTGTGCACTGGCCTGCCTGCCGGGCGTGGTTTTTGGGCAGCTCTGGCCAATAACATGCTAAAGGTATGTGGGTCGTCTGTCTGGCCTCGTGTCGAGTGGCCCGGTGAATTAATCGGGACAGCCGTGTGACTGACCTGCCTGCCTGGCATGGTTGATTGGCAGCTCTGGCCAATCAGCATTTTGAGGACGTTTTAGAAACGTGCTTAGTAACAACATGCAACTAGGCTGACGCTTTGGAGGGGAAAACGTGCTCACACGTGTACTAAGTGGGGTGTGCTTGAGGTGTCGAAGCATCAAATGTGGTTATCGTCATCAACATCTTCGGTATACTCTGCACATGGACCTTTTTGCATGATTCTGCATGGGCTTAGGGGAGGTATTGCCAGGGCACTTGGGAAATCTAGTGGAAATCTTGGGAAATCTTGGAAACCGGGGATGTTGCGGCCAACTGAGATTTTTGCAGCAGCTTCTCTTGCACTTTCAGGAGCAAGTGGAAGAGCTGAAGAAGCGGGAGGAGCGGATGGAGAAGCAGGTCGCCGAGGTGACGCTGGAGAACAAGCACCTGAAGGAGCCGCTGCACACCGCGCAGCAGCAGGTGCAGGAGCTGCAGAAGCAGCTGTCCAACTACGACAAGGACAAGGCGTCGCTCGCCAGCTACAAGGCACGCCTCAAGGTCGCCAACGAGCAGCTGAAGGCCTTGGAGTGGGAGCACGAGGTGCTGGAGCAGCGCTTTGAGAAGGTAGCCGCGCGCGTGAGAATGAATCGGTGAAGCGTCCGCTTGGTTAACTCGCTCGCGCGTCGAGCGAGGAGGATGGAGGAGAGTGCGGGTGACAAGAATGGTGTTACTTGGGGTGTTCGTTGTAAAACACTCTGTGAGAATGTATCTGTTGAGGGAAAACTTTGGGAGGATAATGCGTGCGCACACTAACAATGTTGTGCAGTGCTGAGCGGATTCCCCCCCCCCTCACTCCTTCCAGGATCAAACTCTAGTAAGCAGCCAAATCTATGGAATCCGAATGGCCTTTTGTATAGAAGGGACACTTTTGGAATTTTCTTTGAGTGACCCTCGTATACAGGTTTGACCGAGTACTTTGCATAAATACATGCTGAGCATGCAGGAGACTCGGCATTTCCCTTGAGTGACCCAGGGGTACAAATGAACTTTTGAACACGGGAGTCCAACCCTAACCCTACCCTCCAAAAAAAATTTCCTTTGGACATTAGCTGAAAAAATATGGTCATTCCGCAAGGCCGTGCTCCGGAACGAATTAGTTAGTATGACAGAATTTTCAGGGAGTGACACGGGGACTCCTGCATATGTCAAATCAGGGAGTCCGACAGTAAATCAGGGAGTATTTGACTCCGGACTCCTGTTAATTTCGCACCCTCTGGACCTTTATACGGGTTTTACGAAGTATTTTGTGAAAGTACATGCTGAGGAGGTAGGACACTTGACATTTCCCTTGAGCGACTCTTATACAGGGCTCCCTTGGTTATTTTAAAGTTTGAGCCAAAACTTAAAAGCCACTAAAGTTAATTTTTAGCCACCAATAAAAAGCTATAGCCACTGTTCACTTTATCATATGTGCTAAGCAAGGACACGTGGGTACCAAGGTGAGATAGACTAAAGCAGGTGGATGACAGAGTGGTACAAAGAGTGGGTACTAAACCAGGTGGTAACACAGGTGGGAAAATAGCACAAGGTGGTACAGGTGGTACTACCAGCAAGGTAGGTCACAGGTGAGAAATACTACACAAAAATAAAGAGGTGGTACAGGTGGGTACTTACTGACACACAGGTGGTAAAGTGAGTCCAGGTGAGTACTACAAAACAGGTGGTACAGGTGGTAGCAAGGTTGGAGTAGTAACGCAGGTGGTACAAGGTGAGATTAGATTGGATACAGCGTGGTACTACACAGGTAGGTAAAGAGGTACAAGGTGGGATAACTACACAGGTGGTAACAAAGGAATGTACAGAGTAAGATATAACAGGATGGTACAGGTGAGTACGGTGAGAAAAATACTAAACAGGTGGTACAGGTGAAGTACGACACAAAAAAAAAAAAGAAAAAGAACAGGCTGGTACAGGTGAGTACTACAAACAGGTGCGTAACAGGTGAGATACTAACAAACAGGTGGTACAGGTAGTACTACAGCAGGTGGATAAAGGTAGTAAATACAAAACGGTGAGTACAAGGTGGTTACTAAAGGTGAGTACTACAAGAGGTTGGTAGCAGGATGAGAATACTACAACAGGTGGTACAAGGTAGAGTATAAACAGCGACGGGTGGTACAAAGGTGGTACAGGTGTACAGGTGAGTACTAACAACAGGATGGTTACAGGTGAGTACTGACAGACAGGTGGTGACAGGTGAGTCACTACACAGAGTGGATACAGGGTGAGTACTACACAGGTGGTAGCAAGGTGAGTAACTAACACGAGGTGGTACAAGGTGAGTACTACAACAGGTGGTACAGGATGGATTACAGGTGGTACAGGTGAGTACTAAACAGTGGTACAGGTGAGTATAGCACAGGTGGTACGAGGTGAAGTACTACACAGGGGTGGTACAAGGATGAGTAACTACACAGGGTGAATAGCAGGTGAGTAGTACAACAGGTGGTTGACAGGATGAGTACTACAAACAGGGTGGCGGGTGAGTACTAAGCAGGTGGTACGGGGTGAGTAGTAGCAACAGGGGCTGGTAGAAGGTGAGTGGCGGTACACAGGTGGTACAGTGTGGTACAGGTGGGTAGCTGAGAGCACAGGGTGGTGCAGGTGGTAGCAAGGTGAGTTACTAACACAGGTGGTAGCAGGTGAGTACTACAACGGAGAGGTGGATACAGAGATGGTAACACAGATGGGTACTACAACAGGTATGGTACAGGTGAGTAACTACACATGGTGGTAAGACAGGTGGATAACAGGTGAGTACATACAACAGGTGAGGTACACGGTGAGAATACTACAACACAGGTGTAACAAAGGTGGTAGCAAGAGGTTAGAGTACTACACAGAGGTGGTACAAAAGGTGAGTAACTAAGCACGCAGGATGAGTACAGGTGGATAGCTACACAAGGTGGTAGCCAGGTAGATAAACTACGACAGGTTTGGTACAGGTGTAACAAGAAAGGTAGGTACATCACAGGTTTGGTACAACGGTGGTAACAGGATGGGTACTACACAAGGATGATACAGGTGGTACAGGATGTACAGGATGAGTAAACTACACAGGGTGGTCCAAAAAGGTGGGATATAACCCCAGGATGGTACAAAGGGTGAGTTACTAACACAGGTGGTCGCAAGGTGGGGTACAGAGTGAGTACTAGCACAGGATGGATACAGGATGAGTAACTACACAGAGTAGGTAGCAGGTGGGTATACACAGATGTGGTAACAGCGTATAGGGTAAAGGTGGAGAAATACTTAATAACAAACAGGATGGTACAAAGGTGGTTCACAAAGAGTGGGATCATAACACAAGGTGGTACAGGTGGTACAAGGGCTGCGATACAGGTGAGAACTACAATCAGGTGGTACAGAGTAGAGATACTATCACAGGTATGGTAACATAGGTAGGTGCAGGATGGGTAGCTACACAGGTGGTAACAAGCGGTGGTAAGCAGAGTGGGTATAACACGGATGGTACAAAGTGGCTACAGAAATAAGAGTAGGTACAATGGTGAGTTAAGCTTACAGAACACAGGTGGACAAAGGTGAGTAGCTACACAGGTGGTACAGGTGGTAGCAGGTGGGTAGCTACACAAAACAGAGATCGGTAGCGAGGAATGGTACAAAGGATGGGTACTAACACAGAGTAGTAAACAAAAGGTGTACAGGTGGGTATACACAGGTGATAGCAGGTGAGATATACACAGGATCGGTACAGTGTGGTAGCAGAGTGGAGTACTACACAGGTTGAGGTACAGGATGGTAGCAGTGGGTAGCATACACAGGCTGGTACAGTGAGTCTACACAAGGTGGTTAGCAGGTTTGGTAAGCAAGGTGAGGATACTACACAGCCGTGGAATAGCGAAGGTGGGTAACTACAACAGGTTGGTACAGAGTGAGGATACTAGGACACAGGTGAATAACAGGTGAGTACTACCAGGTGGTCAGGTGGTACGTACACAAGGTGTAGGAGAGATGAGTACAGGTGAGTACTACAACAGGTGGTAGCAGGTAGAGATAGCTACACAGGTGGTACAGGTTAGTACTCAGATCAGAGTGGGTACAGGTGAGTACTACCAGCAGGTGGTACAGGTTGAGATAGCTACACAGGTGGTACAGGGTGAGCTAGGCTACCACACAGGTGGTTACAGGTGGGTACTAAACAGACAGGTGGTAACACGAGTGAGTACGACATGGACGAAAGAGCTACAGGTTGAGAGCTGAGCAGTGGGTATCTACGTCGACACCTGAATTACTGCACAGTCAGGTGAACTACTTGCTCAAAACACCTGCATATAAAAGCAGGGGTACGGCACAATGAGCGTTCAGCCACGCTTGCGGGCGAAATGCGATAAAATAAAGTAACAGTGGCAATTTTATTGCATTAAAGTGGGCGATAACATTATGGCAAATGGTTTCAGCTGCATCAAAAAAATTAGCGATTGGATAATAAAATTTAATTAATAAATTACTTTATAAAGAATGTACTATCGTACGTCCTCTTTTATCATACCCATCTCGCGCCTGTGTTATATAGCCG